TGGTCACCAACGACTGGTGCCTGCCTCTGGTGTTATCTCTGCTGCTGCTTCTCCTGCTCTACACCTTCCTGTACCTGCCGTCGCTCGCTCACCACAACAACACTCTCTGAGGCCTCATGGGTAAAAACTTTTGAACATCACAGACAGTGGATACGCCCATTCCCAACAGGTTTATTTAATTAGATGCTGTTGTTGATTGGTCGGACTCCACCAAACCAAAATAACAGGTGCCTCGGACCACGGTTTAGACCAATGATCCAAAATTCAGGCCAACCAGAGGATGGTCATAGTCCGGATCAAACCGAACCATGATTGGGATCGTTTGAAGTGTAAAACCCTTCTTTCAATAGTTCGACCTTTTGAACCAATTGCAGGAGGTTGAGACAGAATGAAACAATAGAATAAGAAAGGTAAGAAGCAGTTTACAGGATTGCTTGAAGACTTCACCTCCGATGATGTGCTTCTCATTTGCTACTTTTCATAGTTATCTATGACTCTCAGTTACATTATTAAAGTGGATATTTAAAACAAATTGAACCAGTTGCAGAAATCCATTACGAAAATATTTTTTTACTTGCAGCTGTTAAGTTATTTATAGCATATTTCACCTGAATGAAGTTTTTGTGTTGTGCATAACTTACTTCTTGTGTTTACATCTCTCACTGCTAAATATTTACTGAAGTGTTAAGTGTATAAAGCAGTATGTTACAAGGTAAGGATGTGTGAAATGACCAAAGCTTCATATTCCAATATAATGATGCATATACACATAAATATCCACATTTTCTGTAAATTCAATGAATATATATTTTATACAAACTAACTACGTGCAGAGGCCTATTTCTTATAATGTATTCAACACACTATATATGCAATAAATTATAAACATTATAAATAATATAAATGTAATTTTTTCAACTATATTGCAAAATAAAGCGTTGATACATTCAGAAATATGAATACCAAACATGCTGTAATACTGACAGAAGCTCCCCGTTCTGTGTCACAGCCACTCTCCTCCATCCTTGTTTGTGTTGCCCTCATGAAAATTCACCGCCTGCATCTGAGCCGTGTAGACGAACACAAAGTTTTGTCCACGTGATGTGAAAATACGGCTGTAAAGAGTGTGAATGAAATAAACGATGGAGCATAATATATATATTCATATCACACAGCCATGATCGAGGGCAGTTTCAGACATTGATGTGAGTGAGAGTTGAAAGTGTGTGTGTGTTTGTGTTAGATTGAGATCAGTGTTAAGAGGATTAAGGTTTTAGATGCTGCAAATTCAGAGTTTAACTATAAAAAAACATCAGCCATGGCACAAAAGCGTTTAATTATTCTAACAGGGTTCACCTCTGTGTCACCTGCCTCATGATTAAAGTGTTAATGTGTGAGCTGTGTGTGATTTTTGTTTGTGTAGAGGTATTTATTTATTGTGTGTGTGTGTGTGTTTTTGCAGGCGTGTGGAGGAGGTGGTGAGGTTTACAGGCCTGCCACCACATCGCCAGCTGACTTATCAGGCCAAACAAACCATCAGCCGAGAGATGGAGCAAGAACGGATGAGGAGAGCTGAGCAACTGATGCTGCAGCGTAACCCTGCAGCGGTGAGATGTCAAAATGCAAAACACGATTTATCCAAGAGATTTGGGGTTTGTTTTATCTGCAGCACAGCCTGTAGACAATCAGGCCTCTGTGTGTGTGTGTTAATATTCTAATGTATTTATAATCCATTGTGACTGTCTGGTGCAGAAAGAGGAAGAAAAAAAGAGAGCTGGTCCGAAACCAATCAGTAACCATCAGCAGAGGCTGGACAACATTGTCAAACAGACCACAGTGGAGACCAGGGTGAGTCCACACACTCACACCCACACTCACACTGACACACACCCACACACACACCCACACACACACACGCTCAAAGTGCAGATGTAACAACACCCAAGACGCATTCAATCACTCCGTTCACATTCGGAGGTTGTCTGGGATACATGTGTCCACATTCTTTGAGTCTAAAAAATCGTGAAATTCAAATTTAGTTAGGTCTTAATACAAATACACGATGGGTCACATTTTTAATTTCCTATTTTTCCACAAGGGTAATTTCTTATTTAAAGCTACATGCATTGATTCACTTCCTGGCTCCGCTCTCTCTCTCTCACACCGACACACATGGACAACAGAAATGTCTGTATACGCAGACTGGCTGGCAACAACATCATTTGCTCTTTGCAAGTGTTTTTGCATGTGTATTTGCATGCAGAGTGGGGAAGTGAGATCTGATCATAAGTGAGATCTGAATATTAGTGTTCACTGGCGACACATTCAAAACACATTCTAATACCAGTTGTGAACTGACTACTTGTCCACTTGTGATTGAATCTCTCAGGACAGATGAAAATACCAGGTCTGATTTATTTATAACCGTTGCGTACGCACAAAACATGGCCACAGAACCGAACCATCCCAGTACAAACACAAGCATATAAAAATAATTCTGTTGAATTTGATAGATTGTTGACATCACAGCTGCTCTAAGTTTAATAATCCTGCAGTTTTGGAAGATTAAAATACGACGTTTTCTCACATTCAGTGTGGAGCGATTCATTTTTAAAAAAAAAAAAGAGAAACCTGTAGGTGGAGCCAGAGAGGAGCTGCCGGCAGCTGTTAGCCCTGAACATCGGATTCTGTTGGAATGAGCTCAAGTGTTTAAATAGCTCCGTGATGAAGAGACGGAGCCTCTAGGGGGCAGAAATGAGGATAATGAGAAGGCACTGGGTTACGGTCCCCAATGATGAAACTGGAAAAATAGGCTAATGAGAGAGTGATTGTGTGTTTGCTCATTGTTATTGACCTTTTTATGGAGGACAGTGTTGAACTTCCCATTGAAATTCTTCATCCTCCTTTTCACCTCCTTGTTTGTGTCCCGCAGCCAGAGGTGGATTTCTTCGGTCGTGCCGTTGCGCCCAAACCTCAGAGAGTTCAGCCGTCCTCAGACACAGGTACTGTAAGAGTGCTCGGTAACATTACTGAAGCTTTGTTTAACCCCCGGGTTACCCCGGGGTGCATGAGGTCCAAACATACCAGAGGTGAGAAACGATGTGTGTTATGTAACGTTTCTAATTCAGAGCTCCTGAGGCAGACAGGAGATCTGGACTGTCAGCAGCACTGCAAGCATAATAATGGTCGTATCATATTTCTATTATCAACAAGAAGGTTGTGACACGGCCTGATCTACAGACTCCTTCTTATATTTGGACAAAAGCAGAATAAAACAATCTTTTTATATGTATTTATTTTTTATTTCAGTGTTTATACCACCTAAAATAAAGTCTAATATTCAATGTAGCTCCAGAAACCTAACAAAAGCACCAAGGCCCAACAGTCCCCTATGAAACCATAATGAAATCCACTTGATCTGGATTTTAAATTTGGATCTAAACCAAATACACACACTGATAAATATCATTCCCCTTACCATGCCTGTTTTTTTTTTTTTTGCATCTCACAATGTTAAAGAATGATTCCTTAATCTGGATCTGGATTCTTCCATCGCCCATATCCCAAACTTCTGCTTAGTTTAGTGGAAACCGGTGCAGTTGTTTTTGTGTAATCTCGCTTACAAACAAACCAACAAATGACATTTTTTATCATTGAAAATGTCTAATATGCAGAAACAATAGATATAAATAAACTGAATTGCGTAATTTGTCTTTTCTCCTTCTGCATGACATCTGGTATCAATATTTTTGAAGCAGATTTTTCACTTTTGCTGCAGTTTGGGCATTTTACCCTCTGTAAACTGTAATCAAGTTCCAGACGTCCAGTTGTTGCTGTTCACAAACATTGAGTTCAAGAGTCTGAGTCTTTAACAGGGATTCAATATGTATGTTTTTATTCAGTTGGTGACGCAGGCCTGGATTCAGCAATTAAAAGGGGGCCCATTAAAAAATCACCGACCTTACAGAAAATGATGCATCCCGGTAATTGATCAGCAGGGTGATGAGGGTAGAAACACAGGAGAGCCGTGGCTGTTTTTAGGTCAGAGCAGCTAAGTCCTGTTGACTAAAAGAGGCACGGCTCTAAATCTGTGTCCTGATCCCTCCGCTGAATACCTGGACGTCAGTGTGAGAGTGAGTGGCTGGAGATGATCGACGTTATTCGGTAGTTGCTCTGAGATGAGGCATCAGTGAAGAAAACGTTCGAGAACCATTGAAGACGTGAGCCTTTAGCATCACACATCACGCAGACTGTCGTGGTGACATAGGGCGTTCGGCTTGGCAGAGGTGTGCGCTCTCAGTGCCCTTCTAGTTATCGGGGAATTGTTTTTCTGATTAAATGTAAATTGTCTATTGCTTGTTATCTCATTTGTTAGTTAGTTGTATCTGTAGATTTAACACTTGTGTTTTTATCAACGTCTGTTTATCAGTCTGCTGTTTATTTTTCAGCAAGGTTCGGAATAAAGTTCTTAACATTGCGAGATCTGTTATTTCTCTGTACATAGTGTATGGATCAGATCTTGATGAAAAACAACGTCTGTGTTCCTGTATCCTGATGTGATGACTTGTAGGATTGTTTGGCCTTGGAGCTCTGTGCTCCAGTGAGTCTCATTCTAGTTAAACTTGTTATCGGTCACTTCCTTGTCCGTTAACTATTAGATTACGTGATTAATGTCTCAAGCAAAAGTCACAAGGTCGTGTGGGAGCAGCCTGAGGAATATTCTCTCGACCTTTGTTGAACCATGTTGTGTAGTGATTTATCGTTGATTGCTCTTTTTCCTCTTGTTCTAGGTGAGAAATGTCCGGTTCTCGCGATGGGAACCGCCGTGGGAAACAGTGACGTGTGGTTCCGGTTCAACGAGGGCATGTCCAACGCTGTCAGGCGAAATGTTTACATCAGAGAACTACTGTAACGCACTGGCATTACACACACACACACATTTTTTTTATTTTTACCTTTGTTGTATTTACGTTTTTGAATGAATCCAAAAAATCCATCTGTTAAATTCAAAACAGTCTTTATTTTTGATTGACAGTGTAAAGAGCCAATAAAAACGTGGTGTTGAACATTTCTCAGCAGTCCGTCAAAACTAACCTCCATAGAGCTACTCAGTGCTGTACACACACACACACACACACATACACACACACACATACACACACACACACACACACACATACACACATTCATACACAGAGTAATCTAAACATAAATGAACAGCATTCAGGAGTATCCAAATAAATAAACAAGATAATAGCATTAATGTGTGTGTATGTGTGCCAGTGAGTGTGTGAGAGTGAGTTTAGTGCAGCATGACTGTGTGGGAGTGCGTGATTCTTAAGTTTATATGCATCCGTGATTTTGTGTGTGGGTGTGTGTGACCATTAGAGGATCACACACTTGCCCTTCTCCACCCAGGGGTTGGCTCTCATCAGCTCAGGGTTTAGGAACGGATCTTCACAGACACAACCCTCGATCCACTTCACCAGCCTGCACGACAAACACACACCATCAGCACCAACCGGATACTCCGCACTTACAAAGTGTGTGTGTGCGTGCGAGAGAGAGGGGGAGTTGAGGGTGTCCAGTACTCACTCGGTAACAGTGATGGAGGATTTCTCTCTGTTGATTGCCAGCTGATACTGAAGGCTTTCCACTTCTCTCCTCATCTGTGGGACGTCGAACTCCTCCATGATGATACTTCTACACACACACACACACACACACACTTGAGTACACATCTAATTCACTTTTACTTTAGAATGGACAAGAACAGTAATATAACCAGAATGTTTGTGTTTGTTTTGTCCAGTCAAGATGTTAATTATTTCACTTTTTCACCTTTTAAATGAATCAACTTCAGTTTGCAAAAAAAAAACTCCTCACAGGTTGGTGGTTGTGACAAATTCAACCAAACAGCAGTTATCTTTGCTTTATTTAAAAAATGTTAATCTCAAGAGTCAAAGTTACACTAAGGCTTCAACTGTCTGTAATATTCATCATGCACCATTTTGTCTCTAAAAATCTATACGGCGACGTCTTCTATTGTCTTGTTTTTGTCCAACTGTCTGTCCCACACTCAAAGACAAAATGGGAATACCATTACCATACCATAACAGAGATGCTCCACACTGCACAAAAATGAACTGAGATGATACGACTGGTGTTATGATGGTGTATTTCCGGTCATTGTGGTTTGATAATCTCTCAATTCTGCCATCCCCCATCACACAGAGGGCTACATGTGCCCATAGCGAATTGTCGTGTACAGTTGAGCATCCTTTAGATAATACTGCTTAATAAACAACCGGATCCAAAGTGTATTTCTTAAAGTTGAAACCGACTGGCATCATAAAAGAACAGGAGGACGGAGCATATCCATTTGTCAGTTTTATCAAGGGCGTGGAATCATCAAGAGCTTGTTTCATGTGTAAAATATTTATACACATGCAGTTTAAACTTGTTATGCTCTCTGCTGTGTAGTTAGTAGCTTTCAGATGAATGTAGTCAGTGGAGGAAAGTATGTGCTGTTCTTAAGGGCAGTTTTAGGTACTTGACGTATACTTGTGTATTTTTCTGCTACGCATATACATTTATATAAAACTGAAGCTACTAGTTTAATTTCTGATTCAGGTGGATAACACTAAATATAATCAAACACAATGTGCTGTATTTTTATAGGTAAATGTAAGAACTGTTATTTATAATGTATGGTAGCTTATAGAAAATATAATAATTATTTAAAATTACTGAACAGTATTTAAAATATCCCCCATCATGTCCAGTTGCATCATAAAAGGAATGTGCACATAAATGGATCAGTACTTAATCCAGTATTTTGATACACATTACTCCTCAATGTTAAAGCAGTATTTATTGGTGCGTTTCCTTCACTGGATGTAGTGGGGATAAAAAAAAATCAACATACACAGAATAGTAAAGTACAATTTAAACGTATTTATACTCAATTACAGGACTTGAGGGAATGATCTTTGTTTTTACAAGTTAAATGTTTAAAAATAACCTGAATGTAACCCAACATATGTGATGCAGCCTTCTCTTGTGTTTTATTTCTATTTATTGTAAAACCTGCCCCACCCTGCCACAGGCCACATTACAGCAGGAAGAGAGAGAGAGACAGAGAGAGAGAGAGGGCCCAGATGAGAGTTGAGTCCACTCTATTGGAAACTGTCTCTCCCTCCTCCGCCTCCTCCTCCTCCTCTTCCTCCTCCTCTTCATCTCTTTAATGGCTCTAAGTAGGTCGGCCTCCCGGTGCCGGTTTCCTCCACCAGCATCCATCCAGCTGTGTCTCCCAGCATCCAGATGTTCCATGATAACACCCAGGGCCTTTGTGTTTGAATGATTACAGTGAGTGTCTCAGTCTCCATCACTGCAGTCCCTCATGTCTCCTCTCACATTATATATCTCTGCATATTCGACACGGACGTGTTCGACTACAGATTCTCACCCTGAGACAAAAAGACGATCAGCTCCAGCGCAGATGTGTCGTGATGAAATCTGGATGAAAACACCGACACTTCCCCACCCCCCATACAAACAACCGCTCTTACCGTCAGGCCTACCGGGGGGAGGACCGCTGATCGATTCCGTGCGCGGCCGGATGAAGGAGGGCGCAGACTGGGCTCGAACCGCCGAGGAGAAGCGCTTGGAGTGAGGGTGAGTCGGTGGAGTTTATCCCGGCGGATGGGTCCCGGCTTCAGTTAAGTAGAGGAGGAAGAAGGAGGAGGAGGTGGTGGAGGTTGTGTGTGTGTGTGTGTGTCGGCGGTGCAGGACACTCCCCTGCGCTCCTCTCTGATAGCGACTGGATGCGGGAGGCGCAGGGCGGAGAGACGCAGCTCCGCCGCCTGGTTTGACAGTCAAATGACGGCTGCAGCTTCAGGACGCACCTGCATGGAAATCTGCAGGAAACACGCAAACGAGGACGGAGATGCCCGGAGACGAGGAGGGTTTGTGGGTCACGTGCTTTGTGAATTACTCTTTAAGTTCATCAAAACGAGTTAAGAGTGAAATGTGATGGGACAAAACAGACATCACATCCCCAGTGATTTTTATTGTTTATTGCTGTCATCTCTACTTTGCATTGGTGGAAAACATTTTCACATCTTTGTTTAATTCAGTATTAGTTTGATTTGTATAAGATCAAAACACTTATAAATACAATTAAAAGAGAAACCCAAACATCAGATTCAGTGTGAGCAGACACGTGCCTTGGAAGTTGGGGTGAGCAAAAATAAGTGACCAGATAAAGTTGTGCAACAGTCAAATTAAAGTTATATCCCCAAGTTGGGAAAAGAGACATATCAAACCTCACCTGATCCCCCAGGTTATTTATTCAATTATATTTTTATCATTAGACGTTAAGTGAATCACTGTTTATTCAACAAATGCAACTTGCAAACACATATTTGCTCCCATCATCGTGTTCTTTATTAAACATTACAATTTGTATTTTCTTCATTCAGGTTTGTTGTGCAGCTCGTCAGCAGGTGTCTTCTGGCCGATGAGTATATTTGCATGTTTTGTTTGTGGAAACCTGAAAGAGACAAATACAAATTAAAACAATGTTTTGTGACGAGCGGAAAAACAAAGATAATCCATGGAAGCCTCAGATTTAAAAAAAAGTTAGAATCAGGAGCTGTCAGCTCTCATATGAGGTGTCAGAAATTATTAGGTTGTCATCACCGGCTGTACCATGAATATTCAACATATCCAGATACTGACTTACCTTTAAAGAAAACCAGATCAGCACCATCAAGACTCTTAATCAGCTGTGTTGAGTCATGAACGTGCCTGTAAACAGAAGAGCTCAGTTTTAACCCACATCAAGAAAACTACTCACATCTTGATCCATATTTACTTTATGAGCCTCAGGAAAAAAATGTAGAATCAGGAGCTGGAGTTCAGCTCTCATAGTAGGTGTCAGAAAATAATTTGATTGGTCATCACCGGCTGTATCATGAATATTCAACATATCCACAGTCCGACTCACCTTTAAAATAAATCAGATCAGCAGCTGTCTGTCACCAGCAGCACCATCAGGTCTTTACGAGCTGTGTTGAGTCATGAACGTGCCTGTAAACAGAGGAGCTCAGTTTAAACCCACATTCAAGAAAACTACTCACATCTTGATCCATATTTACTTTATGAGCCTCAGGAAAAATGTAGAATCAGGAGCTGGAGTTCAGCTCTCATAGTAGGTGTCAGAAAATAATTTGATTGGTCATCACAGGCTATTAAAGTGTTCAAATACCAACAAGCTGTATGAACTCACCGTCCGTCAACCAACAGTGTTCGTCTGGTCAAACACACGGGGGTTTGTCCCGTCAGATCTGAAGCCTCCTCACTCTCACCTGTGAACTGGTTTAAAATTTAAAAATGAATTTAGAGAAAAGTGAAAGTTTTGAGGTGAAGACTGTTGCTGTACTGAAAACAGAGCCTCAGAATAAAGTTTGAATCAGTAGCTGGAGTTCAGCTTTCATAGTAGGTGTCAGAAAAGTTTATTGAGTTTGTCATCACCGGCTAAAATCATTTTAACACAACCAACACAGACTCACCAGCTGCACACATGACGAGGTCCCGTTCAACCTCAATCTTGACACGTCACATTGTCCCTGAAGGATTTAGTTTGGCCGGTTCCCAGAATGCACCATTCACCTCCCTGTTCTTATTGGTTTCTGTTAGTGTAAAGGAAATATGGATTATTAGACACGAAAACACAAAGAAGACTGCACCTCACACACTGCCGTCTGTTTCTTTTCAGAAAATCAATGATGGACGTGGATTGTAAAGCAGACGCCATTTTCTTTAAACATTAGCAAGCTTTTAAATTTAAATCTCTCAATTAGATGAGATCGTATTTTAGGGGCTCATAACAAGTTGTATAGATTCATCATATAATCTACCATCATAATCATGCACATGTGTCCCAGAAGAAACTATTCTTGGACAACGTATGTTAAAACTGCCGTCTTCAGACAGACCAACAATAAGTCCAGTGTTAGAGACAGTTTCACTAGATCAGGTTTTGACATCAAGTTATTTTGAGGTGTTAGAGGCAAAATATTGTTATTGACAGGAGATTGAGGTCTGACTCGAGGACAATGCAAATATGATTTCTTTTCAGTGACAGACAAATGAGCACTGACTGAGCTGTTCTATCTAACATGATGATCATTTCAGTTCTGTCTTCATCTGATTGTAGGAACGTTTGTAGCATCCAGCCACTACTTCTGGTAAAGATTGAATAATAGATGTACAAGAATCAAACTTTGACCTTGCTCCCTGAAGTATAAGTACTAACTGATAAGAAGTAGTCTGTCCTGAAAGTAGGACTTGAATCACTTCAGGAAAGTGATTTACTATGAAACAGCAGAGGTCTGATCATAGATAAACGGAGTGTGAATATATATTGTCTGGGTGTAGAAAACGCAGCGGGTTCTTCTCAACTCGAGCTTTTCTTCACACCACGTGTTGCTGCAGAGAGCAACATGGCCGCTGAGCTCCTCCACGTGTCAACAACACGAACTCACCTGTTTGAGAAGCTTCTCCGGAGCAACACGGAAACACTCCGCGACAGAAAACTGGAGATTTGCAAAAAGTTGAAGATTAAACTGATCACACTTCATCTTGGCTCCGTCCACATGCACGAGCAGCGAGGAAAAGACTGAGAAGCGGGGATCATATCCGGTTCTGGTACAACAGAAAGTCCCTCCCACTTCCGGGCCGTGTATAGTTTTAGACTTTCTGATTGGCGGAGACCTTGGTACAGGACTTCCGGGAAACGTTTCTTCCAATGCCAGTGCCGCGTGAAACACGGAACAACTACATCTCCCATGAGTGTTAGGTTCGGAACCACACCCAAAGCCTCATGGGAGCTGTAGTTTATAAATAGAATAGTAAGCTGAAGCGTCATTGCAGAGGCTGCAACAGAGATCAACCCGCACACATGCATTCATCAGCAGACACAAAATACAAAATAAATAAGTTCCAGATGAAATGATCGTGTGTTTATTGTATTTGAATAAACGATAAAATAAATGTGATGATATTGTTACTGGTCTAAAAAAGAGCATCATGAGGTGGAGAGCAGTGTAAAGTTATTGTGGGGGGGGCGATCAAGGTGAGAGCACCTCAGCAATTAAGAGGCTGATGGAGGACAGGTGTGTGTGTGTCCACGTGTCCTCGGTGAGTCCAACCAACTCTGTGTTTTAGTAGAAATGTGGGATCGTTGTAGTAAAGCACCCTGAGGTATTAGGTATTTAATGTAAATGCTGAATGTGTTGGCCTGATTTGTGGTTATTATCATTTGTGGTTTGGAAAGAGGGTTTTACATGTGATAGTTACTCACCAGTGGAAAACTTCCAGTGCACCAGCCTGCTGATTGGTGTGGCACACCACCGTGGCAAGATTATAAATTAACTTTTTTATAAACCGGCTTCTTCTGGCACTTTGACCCACACCGACTGTTGGCTTTAACATTGAAGGTCGTCTGTACTTACGTTTAAGTCTACAAATAGTTTCAGAATAATAATCTTTTATTAGATGAGACACAAAATAAACACACTCACAGAACCGGGCTCAAGGTTTAATTTACACATTTATTCTGATCACAGCTGTACAGGAATGCATCATCATCACCACAGCAGAAACACAACCTAAACCCAACCATGGCACAACAGCCGTCACAACACATCCAGAACTCAACCAGAAATGCACAGGCTCAATCAGCTCACCTCGATTCAACGTCTAGAATTACCATTTATTATCATTATTATTTTAATTATTATTCACATAGAACCATCTGTCTCTCAAATATATCTTTGTTTTCAAAGAGCATAAAAATACACGTAGACTCTTCATTGGGATGAACACCGGTGGCTGATCCACTGTCGGGCCTACATGTGGGACCACTGGAAACTGGGGAGCCGAGCAGGAGCAGAGCCGACTTCTAACAGCGCACAGCAGGGCTTACATGGGCTCAAACATGGCTTCTCAATGGCTACAGGAGGACTTCAGACAGGGCGACTGAATTCAATGATCATATACTGAAGGATTCACAAGTCAAACTATAAAGCTACAACACAGACAAACAAGGAGCAAGGGTTTTGTGAGGAAACCGAGAAAATCATTAAAGGTTTTAAGAGAGGAAAACGTATAAAATATATTTAGAACATACGAAAGAAAACTACCAAGGCACAGAAAGATGCAGAGTTAACGGACAGGACACAAAGGGAGATTAAAAAGAAGGGACGAGACAGAAGGGGGGCAGATTAGAGGCAGTTTCACTAACCAACACTAGAGGGAGCTCTAAAAGCTCAAATACCCAGATATATTATAAACTCTATGTATGTATGTTTACTGGATGTACTATAGAAAGCATTGAAATATAGGATTAATTTTTAAAAACACTGTTCACTGCAGCAGGACGAAGGGATACACCGCATGAGTGTGCTTGTATAAGTGTGTGTCTGTCAGTCAGTATTTAGTGTGTGTGTGTGTCAGTCTTTGTAATATGTGTGAGTCAGTATTACATGTCTGTGTGTGTATCAGTCTTTGTAATGTGTGTGTGTGGATTCATTTCCAAGCAAACCTCCATAGGTGGAGCTAAACACCAACAGAACACCAGCGAGATTACAAAAAATTTAATATGTATGTGTGTGTGTGTATATGCGTGTGTATATGCATGTGTGTGTCCCCAAAAAATCCTGGACACACATCTATGTCGTCGCTCTGATCATGAGTACAACTACTGTACGAGTGGGAGGACACTGACATGAGCATCAGGGAAATACACACACACAAACACACACACAGACACACACACTCTTTTAAAGACAACAACGATAACAACAGCAACAACGGCAACATGAACGGAGACAACACACAGCTCAGGAAGTGCAGCTACCCACAATCCTCCACTCACACAGAAGAGAAACAGAGGCTACGATTCATCTGGAAAATTGCATCCTGTTGACATCGCAGGAGTGAGACAGACTCGGAAAGCAGCCTGTCTGCTTCCATGTGCTTTTAAAAATTCTCATCTGTATGCATATTGTCTGTCTGTCTGTTCATCTGCCTGTCTGTCAGTTTATGTGCTTATTTTTCAAGCAATGTGCTTATAGGCCTGTCTCCCTGTCTGACTGGGTTAGCGTCTCTGTCCTAAGCCAGAGTCTGTAGAGTTTCAAAGGATGAGGGGAAATGATTGTGCTTCTCGGTCCACGCCGCTCCTGAGGCCAGGGTGGCGACGGAGGCGGCTCGCTGGGCTGCAGAGGTCAGAGGTTGTGTGGGAGCGGCCTCCTCGCACCGGGAGGTGAACTACAGAGCTACTGCACCAGGTTAGGAGGACTCCCTCCTCAGTTTTACTGTACAAGGCTACATGAGAAGCGCTCGCACCAGAGGGACACGCTCTCAAACACACACGCTCTCGGAGCACCAGCGTCGAGCCGTGAGAGAGCTGTCTTGATGTACCTACACATGGAGGAGGGGGAGAGGGGGAAGGGTTTGTTGGAGATGAGGCGTGGGCAGGGGATCAGTCGAGCATTGCATCCAGTTGGTCCGCCAAGTCGTCAAACATGCTGCCGATGTCGTCCAAGATGGAGACTGTCGACTTTTTGCTGGAGAGAGAGCTGTTGGATGAAAAACAAGGAGTTTAGTCGATAACGAGGCAGAAAACATTCATGTTTTTTTTACTGTGAATCAGAATTTGAAAAATGTCTTCCAATGGAAGCCACAATGTTCCTCAAACTGATTCTAACAGTGACACAATCATCGTATCTTAACATCGATGAGCAGACAGCAGTGGTGGATAGTTAATAAGTACTTTTTTTGAGTGCTGAACTTAAGTAGAACTCTGAGGTACTTGAAGTCGAGTATTTAATACTATAAACCCAAAAACTACTCAACCAACTTCCATGAAATTTGGTGAAGGGGTGAGACATGATCCAATGAAGAACCCACTAAATATTTAAGTGGATCGGGATAAAGGGGTATCCAGGATCTTTGCTTACTCTTAATACTTTTATTTAGCAAATGTATGGTATACCTGTATGTTATATCCGTAATTATGAACTATGATAGATCAAACTACCATGAAGCCTATAAAGCAGTGTATGTAAATTTAGGAAACAAATCAGAGTTCTTCTTCCACCATTGACAAACAATTACTGATTTACACATCCAGTATTCACAAAGCAACATGAACATTGGTTTGTATTTGTGTTCCTGGGAGAAACATCTGGGTTTTCAGCTGCTCAACTGCTCCACTGTTCACCGGTGTGTTGCTAACTGTGTGTGGATGCTGTTTGGTGCCGAGCAGTTGGTTTACAGTGGGTTCGGTAACAGCTGCGTGAATCATCGTGATCCAAAACGGTAAAACTGATTAACAGCTAAACAATGAGCAGAAACTCTCTTTGAATAATCCATTGTAGATTCATCACTGGAACCAACACATACATTTTATACATTCCTATCCTGAGATCAAATCTCATTCATTGTCAGCACCACATTAAAAGTATTTACATCCAGTAATTATCTCTGCTTTTATTGGTAGTGACACAGTCTGGCATTTTCACACATTAGTGTTTTATCTAATGTCAAACAGCTTGACGGCCTCCTGTTCTCTCTCTTTACACCTCATCACCGCTGCATTAAGTCTCTGTTTATGCAAACTGAACACTTCCTTCTGCTGCTTCACATAAAAATGATTACAACACAGGGGGACTTTTATTGTGAAGCTGCCGCAAGAAATTTAATGTAGCTGCTGTTACCACGGTAAACAAAGATGTCGAGGGATTTAAACTGTGACTAACTTTAAGGTTGTGTCATGCAATAGGTGAGATATATTCATTTATTCCACCCTGTTCGTTAGGGGTGAGGAATTAGGCCCAGAATATCTCAGTGCACGTCAGCCTTAGCAACCGTTGCTATAGTAAATGTGCCAGCCGGAGGCACGAGTGAGAGCTGTGGTAAATTTAAACCAGTTTATTGCTGCAAATGAGGACGAAACACTGCACCACTGACCCAGAAGTCCAAATGTTCCTCCAGCTGTGGAGACAGAAAACTTTGGCAACAGTAAACCAGAGTGAGCCCCAGCCGGCCGCACACTCAGTGACTGAACGTTTCTTGGGAGATATAATAATAGACGCTTCCACTTCCTCCCACTATCCAGAAATGAAGCCAAATTATTCCTATGAACGCTGCCATCTTGCGCCATTTGGAGCCAGCGTCTGCACAGTAGTGATTAAGGTGTGGAGCGGGGGTATCAAAGTCCCACCCACATACATCCTCAGCTGTCACTCGTGCAAACTTACAGAAACACACTTGAACAAACATCAGTGTGATAAGAACCATAATCATGAAAATGTTATTTGATGTGTAATTTCTCTTTTTGGTTTGGGTCATGTCCCATCCACTAACATGGACAGGATGGGGTTTATGATATGTACCGCAACCAGCCACCAGGGTGGCGATCAAGATGCGTTGGCCTCACTTTTAAAGAGCTGTCGTGTGTCTGTGGCAAAATATGATGATTAACTTCAGAAATACTCACTCATTTTGTGCATCCTCCTCTTTGATTTTATGCTCCACAGCCTGAAGAGCTGCAGCCAAGGAGGCGCTGGTCTCCTCCAAACGATGCTGCACCCCCTCCTCCTCCGGCTCCGCTCCCTCCACTTGACTCTCCACTTCTTCTCTAGCGCCTTCTTCCCTCGAGGGCTTCTCCTCGCTCTGACTCTCTTCCTCTACTCTCTTCCTCTCCTCCTCCTCCTGCTCTTTGTACCTCTTATGTTCCCTCTCTCTGCTCCGCTCTTCCTCTTCCCTCTTCCTCTCCTCCTCCTCCTGCACTCCCAGCAAGTCGATGGAGAGGCCGGCGATGGAGGAGCGGGGAGGTTTGACGGGGTGTGGTGATGGGGTGGAGGGACTCTGGGCCGGAGAGGGGGATGTAAGAGGGAGGCCTGGAGAGAGGGATGAACCGGAGGGGGTGTCGGGAGCTGGAAGCGGGGCAGCGGAGAGTGGAGAGGAGGGTTTGGGTGCCGGGGTGGGGCTGGTGGCCGCCGAGCCCGGGCTCATGGTCGCCGAGGCTACTATTGCTTTGCCTGGTTTGGGTGCTGTTGGAGGTCCGCGGGGTTTTGGAGATACAGGAGGAGGAACTCGCTTCGGCTCTGGTCAGAGAGAGAGATGGTGCTGTTAGATATTTCATATACAAAGTATTGCCACTTTGACATTTTTCTGTCTGTCTGTAACTTATAGCTGAAGAACTGTTCAACTTATCAGCTTCACACTTGGCATGTGTGTTGTTGAGAGCCTAAGGAAGTGCAGAGTCAATTCTGGTACAGTTTGTGATATGTTCAATATTCAGGGTTTTGAGAACTGAGTCCTGCAGCCGATTACGATTTCAGAAAGAAAAGCTGCTACCAGCATCACCACAGGCCAAACAAACAGTCCACTCCCAACAGGCAGCACGTTTTATAACTCTCAGTGAATAACTCATGATTGTTGATGGGAAAAAAGCATCTGCTCTGTCCCACATTAACTCAATGATTAAATAAGAGTGTGTGTGTGTGTGTGTGTGTGTGTGTGTGTGTGTGTGT